ACACATGTATCGAAATGTAACTTATATATTATTAAACACGTCCTTATACACAACATTATTTGTTTGGTCTTTTGGTATATCTTATATCACCACAAATTATATTAGAATTCGAGCTAGGTTTAAATAAATCAATTAGTTATTTAGCAAGATATATATGATATTTGTAAATATATGCAATCATTATTTATTGGGCTGGGGAGAAACTCCTGCGTATATGAAAAAACTGGGTTGTTCCTTCTCGAATCGTATTCACGAGTTGAGCTGGGGAGGAACTCCTGCGTTGAGGTCGAATCGAAAATCAACTTCGTTTCCGAGCTCAAGACGAATTGGCTTCTTCTTGATAGACGGGATGGAATGTAAGAATTTCCTTTTGTGGTGGGGGTCTTTGTCTCCTCGGATGGACGTCTTCATCATCATCATTGTTGTTAGGGCCTCTTAGGTCGGCCCTTTTCCTTCCCTCTTGATCTTGGGTGAACTTTTTCACCAAGGAATCTCTGATTAACTTTAGTAGTTCCGAGATAAGGTTTTTGCATTCATCGGTGTTTTGCCCATACGACTTATGGTAGACACAATACCTTGACTTGCCGAGCTTATTCTTGTCGGCTATCATCAGTTTCGGGTCAGGCAAGATCCTCTTATTATTTATCTCTTCATATATTGTTGTGACCCTAGTTGAGTATATACCCCTTTTGCTTCCCGAGAGCTCAGATTTGTGCATTCTGAGCTTCTTTTACTGGGTCCCGACCGAGCTTGTTTTGTCTCTTTTCCTTTTGGTGTTGCGCCTTCGAGGACCTCGAAGGTTGGCGTGGACATAAATTCCTCAGCCCATAACATGTTGAGCCCGAGACAAAAATTCCTGGTAGGTGGTCCGCTTATTCTGACACAACGACCACAAGAACATCGAGTCGACTTTAGTCCCGGGTATGCGTACACCAACAACGTCTCCCAATATTAAACATTATATTTTAAATATTATTTGAATACAAACAAAATCCACTCAATCCTCCATTCAATCAGCTTTACTAAAAAAATAACTCACTTTATCCAATAATAAATCAAAACCAAAATATTCTATTTCCAATCAACTCCAAATTAAGAGGGGAAAAAAACGTATCTTGACACTAGAACAAAATCAAATCAGAAAAATGTGTTCTACACACACACACAAAAAAAAAAAAAAAAAAAAAA